TGGGGCACAAAAGCACATTGCTACATGAACATGTAACATTTTGTAAAAACTAGCCTCTGGGGCACAATCAACAAATGATACCAGGACACTTAATCTAAGGCCTTGTTTTTCCCCAGTCAATATGCTGAGCTGTTTAAAATACTCAAGGCACTTAAATGCTGGTTTGGTTTTCTTTTGTGACAATGAATTCTACAAAATGATACAAATATAAAGCTACATTATTTAAGTTTTTGCAGAATACATATTTTAATATAAATATAAAAGTTTGATGCAAGGGATTCTTTTTATCATAAAAATTTCTTGGTAATTTTTGTATATTCCTGTACATTTACATTAGCAGCAATTGCGGTATAAGATATTTAAAAAAAGCTGTCTGGGTTAAATTTCTCTTTACAATGCCTTCCAAATTTCATGTATAACATCAAAGTGCTGCTCCTACTTTAAGTAATTATATTTTATTCTGTTAGACTGATATATTCCATTTGATATCACAATTATTTTGTTTGTAATTGCGACCAAATACTTTAGTACATCTTTGCTGTGTTCTTCTGCAAATATATTTTACAAATTAAGCTAGAGTACCTCTCCCTCCAACACCCCCCTGAAAAAGTACAGATCACTGCACTAGGAGAACATGTTCCTGATCTAGATATAGGTGCTTCAGTCTATTTGATATAAGGTACTGATTAACTAGTCAGTCACCAACCCTAGGATTCAAATTTGCTTTCTCTCTCAAAACACAATCCAGATATATCATCATACTTGAAGGTCAATCTAAAAATTCCACTTGGGATTGATCAGTGAGGTCTTCAGTGAATTAGGAGTCTGATTTTTTGCCCCCCTGAAGTCAATGGTGCAGAATTAGGGCTCTAACTTTCTACTGACATCTGTCAGGATCAGGTCCTTGGTCATTATAGCTCAGTAATATGTGTGGGCCACCTAAGGCCACATCTTCACTCCATGGAGTGACGCTACCTCAATTGATCTTTTGGAGTTTGATTTAGTGAGTCTAGTAAGACTCGCTAAATTGAACTCATAGGGCACTCCTGCCAGCTGCTGGTACTCCTGCTCTTGCCAGGAGTAAGAGAAGTTTATGGGAGCATACAGTTGGCCTCCAGCAGTGGGGACGCTGCCAAGCTCAGCTTAAGTTAAGTCTTATTCTACGTAGCTGGAGTTGCGTACCTTAAACCAAGCAGCAGAGTCTAGTGTAGACCTGGCCTAAGATTTGGCAGGGTGCTGTCATGGGAGTTTGGAAGTAGATTTTTGGATCTTTGGACCTGGGATTGCTGGATTTTTTTTTTTGGGGGGGGGAAGAGTGGCACACAGGACTATTGTATCAGACACTCTTGCACCAATTCTACCATTAGAACAACACAAACAAGGGGCAATGGGCTACTTGGGAACCTTCTCAAGTGGGGCCATAATGCCACAACTCTGCTGGCCAGTCTCAAAGAAGAAAAGAATACTAGTTACAACAAGCCATTTAGGGAACGTCTACACTGCACTGCTAATTTGGGATACTGGAGGTGTCCCAAAATAGTTACCCCATGTCTACACAAGCCACCTCTTATTTTGAAATATTCATTGCACAAGGGATAAGGAATGGCTTGAAATAGTGTATTATTTTGAAATTTGGCACTGTGTAGATGCACCAAATTTCAAAATAGCCTATTTCAAAATAGATTCAAAATAAGATATGCAATTTGCATAGCACAAATTGAGTATCTTATTTCGAGTTTAGGGTGCTGTGTAAATGCACCCTTACAGAAAGGAGAACAAGAAAACAAATTACAGGATCTACAAAATGTTTATATTAGTATCCATTTCAGATAATTCTGCTATGTTAAAGTATAAATCTGATAGCTTATTGTTAAATAAAATTAGAATAAAGGCCTAAGAAAAGGGTTTTTAATTTAACAGCATAACAAAAAGAAAACAAGCTGGAATATTAACAATGCCTAAGAAAACGAGCTGCAATACAATTCTTGGGCATCTCACAGTAAGTTTTCTGTAGCCAGGACTATGGGTTATTCAATAGCCAATTACACTTTCCCTCTTCATAGACAAGTTTTTTTTCACTCTTTTGTGTTCGAGCCAAATATTTACTGAGGAACAGATTCAAAATAATTGTATATATTAACTGTTGAATAATTGACTCTGTAAACCACCATCTCCTTTTGGCTGTGGTTTGCATACAAAGGCTCTGTCCAAATAAAGGTATTATTTATAATATGTCTCTCAATCCTGCCTAGCATCAAAAATTATATTTCAAATTCAGGGCTTAATGCCAAGCACTTTGTGTGTTTTTAATTATTGGGAACATGCCTGCCTTCTGTTTTCATTTCTTGACATTAATGGATATCAGTTGTAGCCCAATTATAAGGACAGCTACTCACTTGGATTGGCTCATCTAAGTAACAGAGATTAGAGGAGACCTTTCAAAATGCTCAGTGAAAACAAGAAGGGTAAATTATACACTGCTACGTGCACTAGGACTGATACAGCAGACTCTGGTATTATAAAATTCCCCTCCCTAATTTAAGGCCTGATCACTGAAGTCAGTGGAAGAGTCTCTCATACAATCACTGGGCTCTAGATGAGACTCCAAGCTAAGGGCACATCTACACTAGAGGGAAGATTGATGCTGCTGTGGTCGATCTTCCAAGGTTCGATTTAGCATGCCTAGTGAAGACACGCTAAATCGAACTCAGAAGGTGCTCCTGTCAGCACTGGTACTCCTGCTCCTTGCAAGGAGAAAGGGAAGCCAATGGGAGCATTTACTCCCATCGATCTACCGCTGTGTGAACAAGGTTTAAGATATGTCAACTCTAGCTACGCAATTAATGTAGCTGGAGTTGTATATCTTAGATTGACCTTTCCCTCCAGTGTAGACCAGGCCAAAGTGGGGCTCTGCAGTGTTACTGTTCCCAGCTTCCCATTCATTCATGTTCACTAGTCCACCACAGATCTTGGGGCTGCACCAAGCCCGTCTTGAAATGGCATGAGGCACCGGCTGACACAAAGGAAGACAGAAGGCTGGGAGAGGTGATGGAACTTTCCATACAGATGAGGGATCAATGCTGTCTATAAATTAATGCTAGATACAACAGAGGGCTGGAACTGGGAATTTTCAAAAAGATCTATCCCAGGAGCATGAAAGAGAAAGATGGGATCACATGAAGAAATAAATGAGATGCTACCACGAAGCAAACTTCACCGGTAGTTGGCATTTACATGTTTATGTCATGTCTTGGCTCTTTAGTGCTCTAACAAAGATTTCCAAACATGAATAACCATCAGTGAACTACAGGCCTTATCTTTACTGGGACTCTCAGCCATTGGCTGCTCACCCTCCACCTAACAGAATCAGTATAAAGCCATGATCTCACTTGATGAATCTTAGCCAGGCTTGAAATGTGAGTAATTTCACTGGTAAGCCACAATTTTATAGTAGCAAATCTCAGTGTAGCAATCACATAAGATGGTTCCTTTTAGACGTGTAGAATCTCTCTCTCTCTCTCTGTCTCTCCCTACTTCCCTAGTATACCAGTCTGTTGAATATGGTACAGGACTGACTATAGCTTTTACCTGTTACTAGGTACATACCAGACGAAGGTCTGTCTTAACTTAAACTGGATGAAGTGCTAACATACTGCAACAGTGAATAATAATGATAAAAAGAAAATGAAAAACACCAGGCTAAACTGTTTTAAGACCACAACTGCTCAAACTAAGGCAACCCAAACACATGCATCTTCTGGCAGAACTCTTCATTCATGAATTCTCTCTCCAAAAACACTGTTGTCACCTTCCCTAAGGCACACATGGTTAATACAACTAGACATACAAACTACCAAAAACACTCCGCACATTTTATTTTCTGCTTGGTCAATACCTAATAGCCATAACCTGTTATTTTCATTTAACAGTTTCTCTCCAGTTCTCTCAGTCTGATCTAGAGGAAAACAGTACATATTTTGCTCAGTCTAGGAGCCTGAAATTCAAAAGGCTGGAAGTGCATTTATAGGAACAAGCTGTGCCATATTTCCAGCAAGCAGGGCCCCCTTTTATTGAAATATGACATTTCTAGGATACTGCCAATGTGGGAACCCTGTGTAACATGTACAGTCTCGAGCAATTAGAAGAAATACTTTACATTTACCTTCTATTTAAAAATGTTTAAACATTCTTTTTAGGGTAGTTTACTAAGACAATAATAATGATAGAGCAGGGCAGGACTTCTAAAAAGCACAGTTTCACATATTGGCCACCAAAATAAGGTAATTTCTTAGCAAACTGGTCATCACCAGTAAAAATGCCGCTCTTCCAACTAAAATTTAAAAACTGTTTTCAAGTATTGTAAGTTTGTTTATTTATACATACCCAGAAATGTTTCCTATAGTCAGTTCTGAATTTGACCCTCAAGATAACTCAAAGTCTGAGCAAAATTTTTATAGTTTCCGTTTCCTTAACCTCAACCCCAAACCTCATAATAGGAAATAAGCCTTCAGATAAAGTGGTTAAGATTTAAAAAATATGTGGTTCTTTTTTTTTTAAAATGAACAGTGGTTTATAAAAAAATCCATGCAGTCTTGCATCAAGCATCATCACAAGGACACAGGAAATGTAACATTGTATATTTTAAAGCAAGAGCTGTGAAAGTGGCAGTACTGAAATTATGAAGTAGTTACAAATAAGGTACAATGATAATGTACAATTGAATACAACATGAGAATAATATGTAACTGGACTGTAGTCTCCAACTGGTGTGAACTCATCTTTAGAGGAGCGATATTATATATAAAATATCCCAGGGATTTAAATTTAAAATCTAGTTGAGTGAAATGTGGTGACATGAAGTTTGATTCTCATTCAACCAATAGTTCACCCCATTTCCCAGGGATCTGCCAAGAGTCACTCTAAGGTTAATAACAACGAGCAGTCCTGTGGCACCTTAGAGACTAACAAATATATTATATCATGAGCTTTTGTGGGTAAAATCCACTAAGGTTAATAGACACTATGACCTCCTCTCTCCTGACATACTGCAGAACGACGAACATTCATGGAAAAAAATCCATTTTGCAATGTCCCTATTATAGGTTTGATCTGCAAAATTGAACTCTAATACTTTGTTCTGTTTTTCTCCATGTAAACAAAGAGATTCTATTGTGAGCTGAATCCAAATCAGAAAGCCTACGGATTTTACAACCCATCTAACAAACTAAGCTCTTTTTTGGAGTATTAATGAAATGCCAGTCACAGTGAACAAAAGTCTGTTCTTGGATCCATATGGATAGGAAGAACAGAGAATATAGCAGGACCAGAATGGCTGAAGAGTAGATCCATACCAAGGATGCAAGTGAAAAATTTTGGCTCTTAGTTGGAGGATTCTCTTCCCTCTTACTCACTTGGTATCTCAATCATGCTTTAAAAAAAAGTTTGCTAAAATAAAAATCGAATTTGGAGTTCCAAAATTAAAAGGTTTCATTTCTGTAAACGATGACCAACTGCATCTGTTCTTCAGCAGCTGTAAAAACAGGTGCAAATCTGCATCTCCATTTTTTTTCCTCTTGACTACATGTCCACATTATGAATGTTGTCCTGAGGACAGTTTCTAAAAGTGCTGTGCAATGGCAGAGCCCTTTTACTATAGCAAGGAGTTTAATTCACATTTAGTCCATGTCTGTTAAGTTTTGTAAAAGGGACTGATAACTGCTCAGCTATTATCTTGTTAAGTGCTATGTGTTAAATGCCTGAAACAGATCTCTTTTGTGGTATTTTCTTGGCAGTCTCTACAATATGAGAATTATCTAAAAAAACAAAACAAATAAAAATAAAAATATTTTTGCTGACTTTTAAATTAAACTCACTGCCAGCAACCCTGACTAAATTACACGTATGTGGGGTGTTTTTTTGTTTTGTTAGTTTCCCACACCTTTAATCTTAAAACTTTCCTATTGAAAAAAATATGAGCTGACATGTCATTGGAACACCCCACTAAGGGATGCGGACATCTGGAACCAGAGGAATTCACTAAGCTAAATACAGGGGCGGGAGCTACATATACAGAACAGACTATAAATTCCAGACTTCAGGAAAAAGGTGACAGAACTGCTGCCATTTTTCAGGAAGGAGGAGACTGACTAGCTGTAACAGATCTTTCCTGGCTGACCCCTACAATTTCTCTGGGAATGGCTCTGTGGTCACATGCCCACCTACAGTGATGTGGCTGCTAGGGAATGATGGAGGGGCTTATGTCATCACGTTAAACTGACAAGAGTGACTAGTCTGAGTGAACAGAGTATAAGCTTCAAAATCCATGCCTCTTTTAGCACATGAGATCATCTGGAAAGCAACTGACTCATTTGCAAATTGGAACATTCAGGAGAGAGGGTTTTTTTTGGTTTAGGTTTTTTAAAATTCAACTTTCTAAAAAAAATATAATTTGGTAATTAATTTTTTGGCCGTGAACAAATTATTTTTGAAACAGAACTGGTTTTGTTTTCTTTTGTTCTTCTTTTTCAAGAGACCTTAAATTTTTGTCATTTAGCTTCTTTAGCATGCCCCTTTCAGGACTCTTTTCTTTTTTTTTCCTCACATTGACATGCATTTTACAGGATAAAAAAGTGACTGTAAAAAACCCACAAAGGCTCAACATCTTCTTTCCACCCCCCAAGCCCTTGGTGGTCAAGTCAGTTTCCTGACTTCAATTAAAAAAAAGGCAATTATGGCACAAAAGAATGGACATTAAATTAAAAAAAAATCAAATTTATAAATATTCTTCCACTGTACACATTTTCACAGCCCCACCCTATCCACTTTTATTCACATTTTCTTTTTTAAAAATTCCCACCCCTATTTATTTTTAAAATTATAAAATATATATATTTTAATCTTTGTTCATATTTAAAAATATTTACAGTAAAACACAAGTTCCTTCTGCTAAGGTCATGAGGAGTCTGTACAAGGAGATGGTGGAGGGGGGTAAAGATGAAAGTAGCTTCGCTCTGTGGCTGGAGATGGAGGGCAGCTTTCTTCTGCTGACATATACTGGCTGCGAGGTGTGGGGGGAGGGGGATAAGGGTCTGAGTCTGAATTTAAATCTATGTAGTATTTGTTGGCCTTCCACCGGCTTGTGGTGTAATCGCTGTCACACACATCTGTGCTGCATGGTGTCGTGGGTGGAGCTATTCCTCGTATAAGGTAAGGTCTGAAAAAGTTAACAGCTCAGTGTTAGTAGTGTTCATATATCTTAAAAAATACTTTACATTAATTTGAAATGCAGGTAAAAGGTGCTTGAGTGAAGTCCCTAAAAAGTCCCCAAAATGGGATTTTCAAAGGAGCAAAGGGAATTAGGTGCCACAAACTTGGATCATGTATCTCACTTTACTCATAATGCTAAACAGCGATCAGCTGATAAAGAGTATTTTACCAGTGAAAATCTTTAGATCCCATTTCTAATTCCCCAACAAATTATACACGTTTTAACTTTTAAGAAACAAACAGTTGTATTAGAGCAAATAAAGCAGATGTTTAATATAGTAACAAGAGTAGCCACAGTCTGACGTGCCATTTAATCGAAGAGGGAAAAACATAACCCCCTGTTTTCCCTTTAAAATGTAAATCTTTGAACAAGATTTTTTTTTCTCCTAGATACAAAACCAAAGAGACCTCAACCCACGAAAATGCCAAACTTTCTCTCTGATCTGTACCTGTAAGATCTTGTTGAAGGAATGTTTGAGGAATAGAACATCTCGGTGTTATATAAGGAGCGATCAGTGGCTGGGGAAGGAGGCGGATTCAAAATCTGTGAATGTTGAAAACAAACAAGGCAGAGGTTCAGTTTAATTTATGACGGAACAATATATACATAGAGAACAAAAATACAGGTTGGACCTCTGTCGACCAGACTTCCATCAACGGCAACATCTGTGGTCAAGCATCCCCGTGGGTGCTCCCAGGGAAAAACCAGGCCCTGCGCTTAGCAACTCCGCCCCTGCTCTCCCAGAGCTTGTGGCGCATTGCAAATAGCTCGTTGCACTCAAGCTCCGGGAGTAGCAGGGACAGGGGATGTTCAGGGGAAGAGGTTGTCTGGCTGCGGAGCCCTGTGGCCGAAGACTTAGAATGCAGGCTGGCAGCTGTGGGACTCGATGCGCCAGAGCCTTCCTGCCTCTGCCCCTGAGTGCCCCTCGCAGTCTCCGCTCAGTTAATGATGGCCCCCCAGCCATCAGAGGGGCTGAAATTGACCTCCCCTGGTCTGGCTCTGGTCAGGTCCCAAGGATGCTGGACCAGGGAAATACAACTGGCATAAAGATCTCCCCCACAGGTCACTATTATCTCACCCATAGTCTAGCCTCTTCTCCTTGTTTATGCATGTAGTTTCATAGAATTTCTTTTACAACCAGAAGGGTTCTAGTCTAGGCATAGAACAGGCCACAGAATTTCAGCCACTGATTCCTGCAGCAGAAGCAATTACTGTTCCCTGCTCCTTAACTAAGAAGTTAAGTGACTTGTCCAGTGTTACACGGGAAGGCTATAGTGAAGCCAGGAACTGAACCCAGTTTCCTAGGTTCTCCATCTAGTGCCTTAACCACAAGAGCTTCCTTTACTTATGGCCATAAGAGAGGCTTAATCCTTGTTGGACACTTATGGGGCCTGGAGCCTCTTCCACCCACAACCCTTACACTGTCCCAATCAATGCCACACCCAGAAGCATGAATTCATTTACTAGGACTAGTTCACTCCATGTTTTCTTGGTAGCGTTTTATTTTAAACTATTTTTTAAATCATACCAGTCTGACGAGGTCAGCAATGCGAACAGGCTATTAGCCATGATTACTTAAAATCTCCTCTATCCTACCAAAAATGACTAATTAATTGTTGGCAGCCCTTTCTGCTCTTCAAAATTGCATTTATTGTGCTTCAAATTTAACACAAGCATGCAGTGGAATCCCCCCGTTTCCCCATTTTTATTTTAATATTCCAGTCTGTTCATTATTACAGAGGAATAAAGTGAGCAGTAACACTTCATGTTTTTCATGTTCTTTCTAACATAGTTCAATAGAACAACAACACTAACGAGTACATCCTCACCTCCCAGGTCCTAGGGAGTGAGATGCATAAATCATTCATCAGTAAAAGGGGAATGTGCTGCTAGGTATTCATTACCCCCTTTTACATACAACCAATCCCTCCTTCCCTGCTGTCAGTGGAAACAGAAATGTGATCTTCAGCACTAATAATACACAAAATAAAATAACAACGCTTTTTGCCTTTCATCCACGGATCTGAAAGTGATTTATGAATATCATCTTAAGCCACCACACCCTAATAAAGTAGGTAAGGGATCACTTTAGTCACCGCTAAAATGCAGCTACTTCTGGCATAAAAAACAGCAGTTATTTAGCACTGCACAATAGGGAGATGAGGAATGATTTATTCTACTGAAATGGTAAATATTATTTGAGCAGGAGTTTTAGCAACATCTGTATTCTTATTAAAAACACCAAAAGATCTTTAGTTATCACAAATGACCAGGACCTCAGTTTTATGTTGCATCTGAAAAACCTGTTCTTTCTCCAGCACAGTGATCTCAACATTGACAAAGCCCCAGGCAGATACAAATGTCTAGCTGTGGATGCAGATACCTGCAGACAGATATTGGTATCCACTGATCTGCAGGGCTCTAATCCCAACAGATGCTGTGGCCAAAGGAGTCAGCACTTTACCACCCCAAACAGGAGACACAGCTAGGAGTGGGGCTGGGCACGGTACAGCTGCACGTCTGGGAGGCACTGCTGGCATGGGACGCTGGCTCCTAGGAGCCGAAGGACCGCAATCCTCTCCGTTGGCCATAATGTCTGGTGGGAGTAGAGTCCTGCAGAGAGCTGCATCTCTGGGTGGACATTCGTATCCACACAGGGCTCTAAACGTTGAACTGAGGCATCTCATCAGTATTTACTTGAGGGAAAGTACCACCACAATATCCTACCAACAGCCCTGCACCCACATCCAACCAGAAGGGAGAAAAGACAAAGCCTTATGTCGCGCCACACAAGAACATCTCAAGGGATGAAGAGCAATTGCCCGAGAGTACCCTATGGGAATGCTTAGCAATAGAAGAAGAGACATGACCAAGAGCAGCTCCATCCACTCCTACTGGAGTTATCAGCTGAGTCAACAACACTTCACAAGACAGCATCTCTCACTGATCATGCTTGATTTGACACCTGTGGCCAAATCCTCAACTGGTGTAAAGCCCCACTGACTTCAATGGAACCGTGTTGATTTACACCAGATGAGTACATGGCCCCTAATCTTTATCCATTGCCAGGAGAACATTAATCAACACCGCTCTTATGTCTGCGCTGTAGCCAGAATAATTAAGAAAATCAGAAATAGATGCTCAGTGTTGTCTCGCCACCACCTTCTCTATCATCTTAAATGAAAACTGGGGGATTAGCCACTAGATCCTAACTCACCAGAGAGTCAGGGTCAAGGGATTGTTTACTGAGCAAAGACTGCACAACAGCTCCCTAAGAGAATCTGGCATCCTACCCTCTGTAAGGACACTCAGCCTCCTCAGCAAGGAACTCTATTGTTCTCCAGAGGCCCTCTCAAACATGGGGCTAAAGGAAGTGGTGTGTAACAAAGGGTACGTCTAGACTACACGCTTTTGTTGACAGAAGTTTTGTCGACAGATACTGTCAACAAAGCTTCTGTCGACAAAGAGCGTCTAAGACTACATTCAGTTCTGTCGACAAAGCAAGCTGCTTTGTCGACAAAACCCTGTAGTCTAGACACAACCCTACAGGCAACAACACCTTCTGTCGACAGAACTCTGTCGACAAAAGGTGTTATGCCTCGTAAAATGAGGTTTACCAGCGTCGACAAAACTGCTGAGTTCTGTCGACGTTATGTCGACAGAACTCAGCGGTAGTGTAGACGCAGGGATAGTTTTGTCGACAAAACTCTGTAGTCTAGACACACCCAAAGGGACCCCAGCACTTCAACATCTCAATAGGGAGCACTGGCTTAACCTACACCAGATATGCCCTTACATTTGTCCCTTCCATCACTCTTAAAGCCAAATTCACTCAAGTTTTTCCTCCTTGCAACCTGAAATTTCCTTGTGACTGGAGGAACTTGAATCAGCTACCAAGTGAAGGCAGTATGGATTAACTAAAACAGCCACTGCTCAAAACAAGTCTGGACAATACAGTGGAGGGAAAGAACCTCTTGCTGAAAGCAATTCTGGAGCAGTTAATCGATCTTGTGATTTCAGTGAACAGACTCTCGAGTTCTCTTCCTGCAGCTTCATAGAATTAATATAACTCAAACTAATGCAGTGCAGTTCTTTGGTCCTATTTAATGGCTAGGCTGAAAGCAGAGGTTTATGACTACCACAACCTCCAAGCTAATGTGCCTGGCCCCTTTAGCTCAAGCAGCAGAAGCTCAGTTATATCCAGAGATTTTGTGTTCTACCCCTGTAGATGACTCAACCAAGGACTGTGTTGCAAGTGATGGCTTGAATGGTGAGCTCAATTGTTGTGGACCTCTGTGTTAGTGTGAGGCACACAAAAAGCTGCACAATCTACTATGACTTATGTCTTGTTTGGCAGAGCTTGCGTTTTGAGTGGAGCTGAGTGGAGGAGGCTAGGCGAATACAATCCCTCCTTTTTTTGGAGTCTAGTTTGCCCCTGCCTACCTCATGGAAATTTAAATGTTAGCACTGTTCAGTACATTACTGCGGATTCTCTTAGCAGAAGTGCCCAGCTATTCAGAACTGACACAGAGAGATTGGGATCATCAACAAAGCTTAGAGCACACCACACTTCTTCCCCTCCTCAGTCATCAGATCTCTGGTCATAATTCTCCTTCCCCACTGCTTCAAATATCAGACCCAGCTTATCTGTTTAGTGCTTTTTTAATTGGCATCAATTAACAGAGTGAAGGATAACAATGAAATAGGAATAATTAGAGCTTGACTACACACAGGTTTTATACGGCTCTAACTAGAACTGTTTTGAAACGGATATGTTTAAAGTGATACAATTTCTGAATTTAGAGAAATGAGCTATGTCAATATAAGCACCTTTGTCCTGATGTAACTTTATCCATAGTGGACGTTTGTACCACTTGAACTATATCCATTTCTAAACCAATACAGTTATAGTGGTATAAACTCTGTTCACATACAAGCTCTTAGCCTCACTCTTTTAGATTTACATATGTAACCCATTTATATTTTTAACCAGAAGGTGACACCCATGTGTACACCATTTATCTACCATAAAATTGGCCAGAAAATACTGAAGATTTTCTTGCCCCAACCAATATTGAATTAAAAGGGCTGCTATGTTTGAGTTCCAAATATCTTTACAGATTCTTGACTCATTCCTTTGCTGGCTTAGTGAGTCGGGAACAAGGAAAAGAAATCAAATCAAGGTTTTCTGTATTGCAGAAACCAACAGACAGGTCAGTTGTATTCACAATTTCCCCTCACCCATCTACCCTTATAGTTACTGCCAGACAATAGGACAATGCATACAGGCTTCTAAATTATTTTTTATTTAGTATAATACATTATCAGTTTATATGTTACACACTAATGTGTCTCCCACCACCAGTACAGTCCCTTTTAATCATTTTTGTCAAAGTAGTGCTAATGGCTAGAAAGGTTGGCTCTAAAGGCTAAGGTGAACAGAAGAGTAAATGCATGTATTGCTTGTTCAGTGATGTTGTGAAGCAGCAAAACAACTGTACAAGATGATTTTGGTGAAAATGACCTTTGCATCCCTCTCCCATAAATGACCTATGCTCCTCCCTCATTGGGTTTTATCCTGCATCTCTTCCCTTTCAATTTCCTAACCTCTGCAGACTTATTTCTCTTAGTGTAGGGGCTAAGAATCTCATTTTCTAACCCATAAATCTTGTAAAATCCAGAAACAAACTCTGCAAAATGACAAAACATTTTAAGCTTCAACAACATACAGAAGTGCCACTTTGTTTTTCCAGTGCTTGCATTTGGTTTTCTGAATTGAAATGGAACACTTTGGATAAACAGTGAGCCAACATTAGTTTTTAAGTGTTTTCCTTCCCCAGCTGTGTTTTGTTTATTTGCTCACTCCCGTGCATACTTGTGGGATTATGCAGTGCCAAACATCATCAGTTCAGTGACAGAGTTCACTAGAGAGAGAGAACTAGATATTTACAAGTACTCTGGATATAAGAACATGCATACAAATAATGCACAGAAATGCCCAGGAGAGCACTGTTTTAATAATACAACATGGTAAAGATCGTGGGCAAGAGACAATGCTCTTTGTAATTAATGGAAACCATTCCATTGAATTCAGTGGACATTGGATTGCCCATTGCTAAATGACATCAATCCAACACAATATTTCTAGCATTTCTCTAGTAGTACAAATTGTAATCTGTGATTTTACGGACAGAAATAGGAGGTCCTTTATCTCCTTTTGGACATATTTTCAAGACTTACCTGTGGGTAAAAAGTGGCTTTAGTGCTGGATGAACTACTAGACGAGGCTCCAGTAACATGGTTTCTGTCATACAGAGGGGCACCGCTACTTCCTCCCATGAGACTCATGGAGCTAATCATAGACTTTCCACAAGAAATGCCTGCATGGGACCAGAACAAGACAGAAGATACCAATATTTCACAGAAAAAATAAAAGCTTGAAAAAAAGTGGCCTGTGGACCAAACATGGTTTGCCAGGCTTAGTCCCTGGTGGGCCACCAAACACTTTCTTTACCTGAGTGTCTGCAGATATGGCTACTCACAGCTCCTGTTGGCATCAGTTCACCAGTCCTGAAAATGGGCACTTGCCGCAGCTCCCATTGAGTGGAAACAGTGATCTGTGACCAACAGGAGCTTTGAGCAGCCATACCGGTGGATGTTCAGGTAAATAAAGCATCTGGTGACCCACCAGGAACTAACCCTAGCAAAACGTATCTGGCCTGCGGGCCACTTATTGCTCATCCTTGCTCTAGAGGGCCTCTGGGGGATACCCTATGGTTCCATGTGCTGCTGTGAGCTGAGCAGCTCTGTTATTTTTTCCCAGTGAATTGTGGAAGAACTTGTAAGTCCTTCTGGGCACCCAAGGGCAATCATGGCAAGATAGTCGAGGACCATCAACACTCAAATGGCTTAGCCTGAATCCTCACTGCAAAGAGGGTAGGTTATCAATCTGAGTGACAGCGTCACTAAGCTCTAACCTACACCCTCTGCTGGGCCAGCGAGCCCTGGTTTGAAGTACCACCAAACTTGTGTAAGAGCGTTGTGCAGGGGGACGGTAGGGAGTTAGAGGCAACACTCAAGTACATATCCATGATCTCCATAGGAACTATTAAGAGGAAGACTTTCAAAACTTTTTGGGCAACTTTTAAAAGCATCTAGGGGCCTAACTTGCACTGAAAGAACCCAATCTGTGTCTTCTGGCACCTAAAAACTTTTGAAAATGTGACCCCAATGGGCAGATAAGAACCCAAGTGCCCCTAAAAGTCAATGGGCATTCGGCATTTCACTTGTTTTGATGTCTACAACAATTGGCCCCTCAGTTACTATCCTGTGAAAATAAAATCCAGATAACAGAACTGATGAAATGTAGGGTCCTTACCATCCTTACCAGTAAAAGTGCCATGCTGAGAACTCCCTGGAGCTATAAAATTAAGAGGGACATGAGGGGTTCCACTGACATATTCATGTGGAAAAGGTCCATTGGGTCCAGAGTAGCGCTGACATACCACTCGCTGGCAAACAAAATACATTCCTCCCATGACAAAAAGGGAGAGTATGATGCCAATGACAGGTCCAATAGCGCTACTGTGGGGTTGAGGTTCATCTGGGGATGCCTTTTTTTCTGAAAACAAGAAAAAAATTAATTACATTATTTACAATGACACCGCCCCAATCTGGGACAACATCCCTTATCAGTGCCCTCTCACGCTGGAGAAAGTTGATGGTCCCCAATACATCGAATACCTAGCAATGAGCCAGCACTCAAAGATGGATATTATTAAATGACCTATGGCATTCTCTCTATAAACTCAGTGACTGATTTTGTTTGTTCATGAGATTCTAAGGAGAGTGTTGCTTCTGCTTCTATCCCACAGCAGCATTCCAGAGTGAGGAGCTGAACACATTCCATTAAAACAGCCCCCTTTGTAGCTGAAAGTGGCTATCCTTACTCTTCTGCTATTCAAAATCTTCTTGAGCTGTATCGGCCAGGCATGGAAGATTGGGGTGAGTTGGGAAAAGTGTACCGGGGGGGAGGCAGTTTTGGGCAGAACAGAACGGAATTTGCATCATGCCTTCCATGCTTCTCAAAGATTTTGACAAAACTATGGGCTAACAGCAACTAAGGGCAAAATAGATTGGTCATCACAGGCTCAGCTATAACCACATACAGCTCTGGTCATGAGAACTTTCGATTACATTTTAGATAGGAATCAAGGTCTTGACTACACTCTCTTGTCTTATCTACACTGTATCTTGCTGGGGCCTTGGCCACGACCTAGTCATCCCTTGACATAATTAAAGCGCGATCTTGTAATGTAGATGAAACCCAGTCTTGTTTTAACACTGTTCCTGAACTGTATTAAATGAAATCCAAGGCTACCAGTGAGTTGTAATCAGGCGACCAACAGGGCAATTGTTACAGTATAGACAGGAACTTAGAGCAGGACTATGGGCTTGTCTCACTATTGGTGGGACTGAGGCTGTGAAGATCCACTAAATGGACCACCAATCACTCTCCCATCAACTCAGTGCAGAGTGGACCTAGCAGTAAATAAATCTAAGCTACAATGACTTGAGTTACACCCCCAATATAACTCAAATTGCATAGCTTAGATCAACTTTTCCCCCTGGGACATACTGCCTTCATTTAGCGATAAGATAGAGCTTGGTCTCTTCTTACCAGCCAGAGAAGCAACAGTCAATATAGACACACTTCAAACCAGTGCAGGAATGTAATGCCTGTCTGCACGCAGACAGCTGTAATCTCAAAGAAAGACCTCTCACCGCATATCAGTTCATCGGAACCATCAATGCAATCTGGAAAGGAGTCACATTGCTGTTTTACGAGGATACACTGACCATTGGCACATCGAAACTGATTTGGGAGACAGATTGCTGCAAGGGAAGAAGTAAATATTTAGTTAGCACGCAAAATCTTAAAGTAAATCAAATTATAATCTGTGCTGTGAAGTAACTCAACATTTTAAGAAACCTGGACATAACACATACAGCACAGCTGTGTATTGTACTCTAAACTTTAACCACATGGAAACTGAATAGCTGCGTCACTGTCTAGTCTTTAGGAGAAAAATGATCAGGAAAACACAGTATAGACAGTATGTAATTCTGGCACAAATGAGCAGAAACACAGCTGACTCGCACAAGCGATTAACTTGAAAAAAATTCTCCCCCACGAAGCAGAATGTGTCATTAAGGTAACAAAATGGAGAGGAAATCTATTGAAGCTCCCAACAATTCAAGGTCTTTAGTCAAATTAGCCCCAAGCATTTGTTTCCTATGTTTGCTTAGGATTTTAAACACAGATTGTATTTGTTTTCCCTAAGGCTTACAACTAACTGATCAGGTAATTTATGCAGTTATGGAAATGTATACTTTGAGGCATAGAAGAGGGGCTGAAAAAAACAAAGAAGGAGAGAAGGGCAGAATCAACACATGTTTTAAGCTTTTCATAACATATTTTTGTGGTTTGGTTTCAGAGTTAAAAGGAAGGTCTTTAAATCATGGATGGCTGTTTGTGTTGGAGCCAGGCGCTCAGGACCATAAATCTTACTATTGCAATCTGCTTCGTCGGATTTATCTTGGCAGTCGATTTCTCCATTACACCGTAAGCGTGCATCAATGCACTGTCCTTTCTCACACTGAAACTGGGCTGCTGAGCATATGGGACAGCTATCTTCATCACTGTGGTCATCACACTCTGGAAATCCATCACATCGCCATGCCATTGGGATACAGTCTATCTCCCCAGTTGCACAGGTAAATTGGTCTGGGGAACAAGTTGGAGGTTCTGGAGAAAAGAAAAACCCCAAACATACTCATTTTAGTCTATAAAAAAATAAATAGTGAAAGACACTTTTCACAGATGGAAAACTTGTTATGTCCATGCTGAAATTCTTTTGTGGAAATGGTAAGTACTCATCAAGGGATCGTTTACAGTTTTGCCCGGGGAACACATTTTCCCCAATTTGTAACAAAATAAATGTGCTGAGAGAAGAGACATGATTTAGTTGTCTGAGAACTGGATAGGTGGCAGGGGACTCCTAGGATATTTCTGATCATGGCATAGTATAATCTTTATAACAAAATTGGTATTCTGGATGAACCTGTCACTAGTTTACTTAAACCAAATGCAACCCATGCTTACTCAGTATTGTCTCTCTGTCCTTAGCTAGCGGCTAGTCCACGTACAGATGTTTATGAAGCTACTACAACAATTTGAATTAAGGAACCTGGTATTCTGTGAGATGTGTTGGTCATGTTCATTCCATTGCAGGTGTATGTGCTCGCCACATGCACCGTGCCAGAAGTTTTGCCCTCATAGATACCAATAAGGAATCGGGTCTGGTGCCCTCTGGAGTGGTAAATTTTTAAAATATTAGATAGACAGATGCACAAGGCTCAAAGAATTTAGATTTCCTGAGTCCTAGTCCATGACCCAGCCACTAGATACTACTACCTCCATAGAACATGTATATCAATTGTGTTAAAGAACAACAACAGATTATCACATTACATATTTGCTATAATGAATGTATAAGGCATGGTCTTATGTTAAGCTGTAATGTCACTCTTGTAATCAACAGCAGTAGCATATTCATACAGTGACTCCATGGCGACAATGTTACTGTACTTGATATGTAATGAACACTGTATAATACAGAAGGGCCTAGCATGGCCACCTTGCAATACAGAATTCTCATTTAGCACCCAGAATAATCAAAACCTTCCTCTTGGTGCCAATGGGAGAAGAAATAATCAATAGGTGTTTGTTTGTTTTTAAGCCCCACCTCCCAGAGCCATATTACCACATGAGGAATTTTGATTTTTCAGCTTCTAGCCCTTTCAATTATGGAAAAAACTGGACAAAAATGCCCCAATTTTATTCCAGGAGCTCAAAAACTGAAAGGAAACTAACATGAACCCAAAAGTTATTTTTAACCACCTCATGATTTTTAAGTCAATTGTGATTTTTGAGGTCCGAGTCTCAATTTTTGATAGCACGGTTCTGAATAACAATTGTAAACAATGAATTAACAGCTCTAAATGAACTAATGTGTTACCTAAACAAATAACTGGGAAAACTGAGGAATTAAAACTAATCTGGATTTCCTATTTAGACAAAACATTTCCAGAGTGACTTCCTTGAAACTGAATTTAGCCACTGAGCTGCTTTTAATATCGTACCATGTTATAATGAACAGATTCAAATTTGGGCCTAAACTGGTCAAAGCATCTGTGGGAATAGGTGGACAGACATTCTGCAACCCATTTTTATCAGGCTACTGAAAGATATGGGCTGCAGTCAGGATATGTCAGAAAGAATTAGCAACTCTGGATAAGATTAGGATAAAAATGAACTAAGACCAAAAAGGGAGGCCCTAAATTTGTTAGATTTATAGCAGAAGATAATGAATCAGTGGGAGGTAAGAAATCTCTCACTGGCAATATCTTGCAGGAGCAGCAGATTGAGAAATATGAGTAAACTGATTTCCCCCCCCCCCCTACAGAAATTACCACTACTATTTTCAAACCACATAGCGTGTTGTGGTCATGGGAAAGAAAACAGCTTATAATGGAAATGACTTTCCCCTGGGAGGTCAAAGTTCAGCCAGAATATGAAATCTAGAGAAAAATGAATTAATTTTATTTTTTAATCTTGAGTGCAGTGATAAAGCTAAATTACTGAAGATAGGATGCCTCCCAGAAGAAATGCGTTTTTTTTAATGCCCCCAGTAAGTGCAGCACTACGAACAGTGAAAACTCCTGGGATTGTGAAAGAGGCAAGAAAGCATAAAGCAGGAGATTAAGAGAGCTAATGAACAGGGTCACGATCCATGGACATGGATGGAGATGAAAACATGGAAGAGGAGATCCAGCATGCAGAGCTAAGACAGAATGCCTGTGCAAAAGTTACAAATACATACAATTGGAATCAGAATTTCAAAAACACTCAGCATCGGCTCAACTGATTCTCCACTGAAATCAATGGGAGTTTTACCATTCATTTTAATGAGAGCAGTGTTGATTTATGAAAATCCCATCGTTTAAAAACAAAGATAATTAAAAATAAATTCTCATTTGACTATTTGTCAATACTTAATAGTACATTAAACAAATGACATTAACTCCATATCTGACCATGCAGCTTCTGGACTCCAAGAACTCCAAAAGTCTTTATGGACACATGTGCCCTATAAAAAGAGCCCTATTAAATTAATTCACTTACCTCCACATGTTAAGAGGTTCTGTAGAAGTACAAGGTGATCTGGGCATGAGCATCTTGGGGTTCCATCTCCTTTTGCAATGCAGATGTGTGAACAGCCGCCATTGTCACGGGAACATGGATGTGCAGCTGTATAAACAATACATGGAATGGAATATTGTACACTATACATACATCAGGATATTCAGCTAGTGCAAAGCTGCTTTTTGTAAGAGCTGCCCACTTTCACTAGACATGAACACAGCAAATGCCTGACTCCCCAGCTCAAAAGCTGACTTACAGTCTCTCTAGGAATATTGTTCCTGAACACAAAGGAATTCTGAGAAGCCTTTGTATCTTGAAGTGTTCAGAAGCTCAGATATGAAGAAACTTTTAAAGGCCACATTTATCAAATGAGTAGTCTTCATCTGTATTTCATCTGCTAGCCAGGCATCACAAAGAGACATGTTTAAACCAAACAAAAGATCTCTTCAGTACATTTAATCTCAAAGGAACCCAAAATTATCTACAAAACTGAAGTACACGTAGATGCATACTCATAAACATACAGATATGGGCCAAAATTTAAATAGGTTAGGTACAGTTAACCTTCTAAATCCACCACACCAAGGGGCCTAAATAAGTAGCCTGATTCTCAAAAGTGCTGCGCACCCAAATGTTCCTCAAGTGGACAACCTAAATGGACAAGACAAAGGGAGGGAGGGGAAAGAGAGATCAAGTTACTTGCGATAGGTCTCCCAGCAGACACATAGCCAAAATGGGAACAGAACCTAGGTCTAGAGTTCTAGTCTCATGCCCTATGTACTGGATTACATCAATCCTGCATGTGCTTATACTTAAGCACATCCCAAAGTGTCTTGGAGTGGCGCCCATATTTATTATGTCACAGAATGATGCATTCTTGGATACTAGTAAGTTCTAAGATTTTTTTTGGGGGGGAGGGAGGGAGGACAGAGAGATCCATATAAAAATAGTTAATTATTTCTGTGCCAAATGTGCTCTCCATCTGCTCAAACTCATTAATCAGACATTCAGCACAGAAATCTGCCTTCGGTTTTAACGAACATATAATTTTAATATATGGTCTCAAGATGCCACTGAACGCAGCAGGGATTGTTGGAAGAGCAAAAGAAAAAAATATTTTTAAAACTGTTCTGTTGCAACACAGATTCACCTTTAAAGGACAAGTTTCAGATTTCAGCCCGGAAGGGTGTTTCTTTTCAAAGCAGAAAGCAGCATCCTTACCATAAAGAAAATAAAGCACCTTTTAAAAAAACTATTCATGATTTAGCATGTTGAATTTAATTTCCCAAGTCTCTGAATGATACTTAAATTAAAAAACAACAACAACAACAAAAACTTTTGCAGAAGTAAAGTAATGGTACCTTTGAAAGACACTGGGATTGGGGCAAGGAGATGCGAGGAAAAAAGGCTAGGAATGTTGAATATTAAATATTGTGAAGGAAAAAGGGTTAATTGTTTTCAAAATTCTAAAACAAATGTATTAAAAGTGCTCCAATTTCTATTTTTTTAAAATGAATGACTCCTCCACTCTTATTTTCTGAGGTTTTCAGTGCTTATGAGAGACTAGCAAACACCACACAGGTTTCCCCCTACACATTTCTGCCGATGTAGCCACCTCCTGCTATTCTAGTTAATAGTTTTTTCAAACAGTGGTGGGTGTATGGAAAAAGAGATTTGAAAAATATAGGGACATTGTCTTTGCATATATCTTCCAATCTCAAGAGAAATTCATAGCTTATGAGATGAATAAAGAAAAGAAACAGCTGATACCTTAAAATTAAACACTCACATAGGACCCCCACCATCCCTCAATCTTTGGATCTCTTTCCCCAGCCCCTTTTGTATTGAGCACACTTCTCCTTTCTCCACCACTCCTTTACTACTCTCCCTTATGGTGCCATTCTGTCTCTTTCATTCACTGCATCTTTCCACAGTCTTTTCTCCCCCCCCCCCTTAATTCCTTTCCTCTTTGTCAGAAGTTTTCTCTGATCGTTCCCCTCCTCAATTGCCCAGTTAACATCTTCCTCTCTCCTCAAAGGCCCTGAATCATCCTTCCAGATGCGAAGAATTTGACAGGAGAGCTCTTGCATCACATCAGTCAGCCAGAGGGGGGCCATTACCACTACCCCATGGCACTCGAGTGCCTCTATAGCAGTGTCTGTCTGTATCTGTGCAGTGTTGTTTCTTGGAAAGAGAGACCAAATGTGGAACCAGAGTATGATATGTTTCCACTAACCCACTTGTACAGAGCTCCTTGCTCTGCTCGGTCAAGTCTTAGCCTCACTAGCCAGTTAGCCCGTCATAAGAGGAGATTTTCATGTCTCTCTCTCTCGGGACAACGGAGCCCAAACGGCCATTTGGGCTCCGCGGTCCCCGTGCTGCATGGGGAGCACGGAGCCCAAACAGTCACTTGTGCCGCTTGCTCCCACGCGGCGGCCCGGCTGAGTGGCGCAGAAATCAGCCGAGTGCCACAGCAGGAGGCGAACAGGAGAAAGGGGGCTGGGCAGTGACGTACACGG